TTTTAAAAGGTAAACGTCCATATCCTAACTATAGATTCCACTGCGTTAGGATTTATTTCGATAAAGTTCAATACTGTGCATGTTGTTTGACGTTCCTAGCAGAACCCAACAACTGGTATCAGAGCCCAGGCTAATGCAAACTCGTGCACGGTTTGAATTTTAGACTTTGCCTGTCTACATGAATTATGTGAGTACGGACGCAACAACATAGTAGATTAGAAATTGCAATAAGTTTTTGCAGGTGTTTCGAATCCGACTATTGTGGCCCGTATGTATGGATTTTAATTTATTTTGAATGTATGCTGTTTTTAAAGCCTTGGACATGTCAAGGAATTTTTGGGTTGGTGAATGCTTGTAATAAATTATTCGCGCGGTGGGACACCGCATAGTTTATTGCTTTCATAGAAACTCATGTACGGCTCCTGCGTGGGTCATAGGATGAATTATAAAATTGTTGTTTATATTATTCACTATTGATCCGGCGGGCGTGGACCAACCTTGACGGGGCGAGGCAGAAACACGTACACGGATGCCATGGTGTTGATCCAATGGCGACTTTCCCGTAGACGACCAATTCAGTGGGAGTCACTGCGAAAGAGGGAGTTCCAATACCCGAAACGGAGGACACACTCAACAAGGACAGGACTGTGTTTTCTCCGTAACATTGGAGATTGATTAATGGCCATGATAGTTGGATTATAGTTCCTAGTTTATTATTGCTCATTAATCATGCATGTTTTACGTGATTGCTTATGTGCAAATACAAACATGTTAAGAAAATCCCATAAAGTAAAAATTATATTAAGTGTGTAACGGGTTGAAATAAATTACATCCAAGGCCTCCATTATAGGTTTGTCAGTGAAGTGATTTAATTCGAGCCAAAAGGATGTTTTATTTCATGGTTCACAAGGATGAATCTCCTTCGGGATGGTTATAGTGAGCTATTTCAAAAGCGTACGGGTCACCCAAAGGTGGACGTATAATTTTGGTAGTAAACTTAGTACCAATTAATGGGTTACGCTTAAAGTGCAAATAATTACGATAGTCCCAAAGGACAAGGTCGTTTTTATTCTTTTATAAAGATTATTCTTTTAAAAAGTTAATTGCGCTGGCCAAAAGATGAAACCGACTATTAGTTGAGTACTCTTGGGCAGTATGTCAAGCTAATGGGATTTATCCCTCCTCTTGCGAATGTTTGAACCGTAGACGTCCACACTCCGTGGCCTGCGGGGATTCGGTGTTTTGAGGTGTTGGTGAATTTATTCAAATGTTGTTTAATGGGATCAATATTTTTTGTATAAATTCAAAACTACTTGACTGAGTAAAGACTGTGTTTGCATGATCCCAGGAATTCAAAATGTCTTTCAATCCGTTGTCCGTAATTTTCAAAGAAAACAAACTTGTTGGTCCCAATTATATTGACTGGAAAAGGAACTTGGATATAGTGTTAACTGCTGAAGGGTACAAATTTGCTACTGTTGAGGCTTGTCCGGCTGTGCCTGCTGACAATGCACCAGACCAAGAGAAAGAGGAGTATGCTCGGTGGAAAAAGGCTGATGAGATGGCGAAGTGTTACATCTTGGCATCTTTGTCAAATGTACTTCAACATCAACATCAGTCTTTGAACACTGCAGCGGATATGCTACTCAATCTCAAGGAGTTATTTGGTCATCAGTCACGGGCTACCCGACAAGAAGCCATGAGGGTCCTGATGAACATGACCATGCGCGAGGGCACTCCCGTAAGGGAACATGTTCTTGCTATGATGGCCCAGCTGAATGAGTTGGAGGTTCTTGGGGCTTTTATTGATGGGGAAACCCAGGTCGATATAGTGCTCCAGTGTTTGCCGAAGAGCTTCGAGCAATTCCGATTGAATTACAACATGAATAAGATGTTGATGACTCTTCCGGAACTTGTTGCTGAGCTTCAGGCGGCAGAGGGCCTGTTTCGTCAGAAGACCCAAGCCATGGTGGCCCAGCGGGGAGAAGCTTCCACTTCTAAGGCTCCTAAGTGTAAGAAGAGGAAGAAGTCCGCAGGAAAGGGCAAAGCGGTCATGAGTGACACGCAACCTCGACAAAAGGCAAGGAAACCGAAAGGCAAGTGCTACAACTGTCAGCAGAAAGGACACTGGAAGGCAAACTGCCCTCTTCCCAAGAAACCCGAAAAAGGTACTCCTTTTGATTTAGTCGTTGAAACATGTTTAGCGGTGTTATCTACCAGTACCTGGTGTGTAGATACGGGGGCCACTGATCATGTCTGCAATTCATTGCAGGGGTTCCAGGAAACCAAGCGACTTAGGGAAGGAGAGGTTACCATCTACTTGGGCGATGCTAGTAGAGCGTCAGCAGTTGCAGTGGGAGACGTCTATTTAGATTTTGGCTTAGATAGGTTTCTAGTTTTGAAAGATTGTCTTTATGTTCCCAGTTTTAGAAAGAATTTGATTTTAGTTTCTAAGTTGTTT